TTTTACGACAGCATTTCGTTTGTACAAGCTGCATTGCTGCTGTTTTCTTGTTTTTATTCATCTAAAGAGATTTTTATCTAATTGTTCTCCAGGGAAGGGATGCTCCCAATCCATTACTCTGGCAGCATTTTCTGTCTCATACATGCTTGACTGTCATGTTCTCTGTGTTGCCTTCTAATTAATGCAGGAACAGTGATTGTTTGCCACCACAAAATAAAAATGATACTTGAATTTGGAAAAAAGCTCCCAATACCACCCTTCATACTGTTTCAAATTATTTCAACATCAGAATCTCAGAAATGAGAATTAAGAACTGGATGATTTTTGTTGTCAGGCAGTTTGAAGGAAGTTTCAAAATTCAGGTGCTGCCAGCAGTGGAGATCAGGTGTGGCTTTTGCCAGGGTGAAAGCTTTGGTTTGCTCTCAGCAGTTGCAGAGCTTTTAAAAACTCTAAAATGAGAGTGTGGATTCTCTGTTACAATAATGGGAGAAAATTTCTGAGTTCAGCAACTTTCTTTTTCTTTGAATGACAAAACCCACAAGTGGTTCAGGTTAATTTAGGTTAATGCCTAGCTCTAATTTTGGAGTGCCTTTAAAAAAAAAAAAAATATAAGATCTTGCCTTCTCTCTAGCCTGTGGCTTTAGAAGTTTTGCCTTTTGTGTTCTCTTTGGAGAGCCAAGTGCTCTTATTTAGTTTGTAAAATTTTCTTTCTGCTACCACAGGAAATTCCTAATTTGCCACCTAAATTTTGGAGCCAACTTTCCCAGTATAAAACAGTTCAAGACACAGCCTGGGGAGATTTCCTCCTTGGGCTGAATTTTTTATAAAGTAGGCCCTTGCTTATCAGGTTTTGCTCAGAGACTTCTTCTGGGAGTTTTAGATTTTTTTTTAGAGTGATCTTTGCATCCTCATTAACAGAAGTATAAACAAAAAAGCAATATTGAAACGATGTTGACAAAAGCTTTCTCCTGTGCATAGCAATGTGGTGGAATCAATGGAAATTGTCTTTTCATTATTGAGAAGTTTGAATGCAGCAAAGTTAGGAACTGAATTGATTGCTGAGAGCTGGGAGGAAGGAAACTCTGACAGATCTTTCAGTGTTTGCCAAATCAAAGTTTTATGGATATTTAGGCACAAATCAGGAAGCTTCATCTTAATTAATGTGAATTAAGTTGTATTCTGAGATTTTGGGAGAAGGAGCAGGTCAGAGCCAGGGTTGTTCTTGGATGGTTTTGATCTTTCTGTGCTTCACTTCCACAAACACAAAGCCACTGAAATCCTGAGTTTTTCCAGTGAATTCAGGTGTGTTACACAGTCCTGGTAGTTAATGATGATTTTGGGTATGAATGGAACCAAGGGGGAGGAGGAGCCCTCCTTGCTCAAAGACAGCTGAGAATCCTTTTGTGGTTTCGTTTGGTTTGGTTTGGTTTGTTTGGGTTGTTTTTTTTTTTTTTCCTGTTTTTTTTTCCTGAGCTGTTCTGTCAAATGCTGGATGATGAGGTGATTTGCTTTGTAATGAGAAAGAAATTCTCACACTGAGCTTTTTATGGGTATTTTCTTAGGGAATCTTTAAGCTTTTCAGAAGCTTTGTGTACACAGATGAAGTTGGGCTCCTGCTATGGCTCTTGGTTTCTCTGGGTTCTGATTTGGGTACAGTGAAGGATCTTGCAATGGAGATTTCTGCAATTTGTTTTTTTGTTTTGCTTTTGCAAAGGCTTCCAGCAAGAAGAAAAGATGAGTGATATGATTATGATTCCTAATTAGCTGTGTATGCTCCAGAAGTCTTGGCTGCTGTGCAGACACAGAGATGCATTATGGATGGAGTGTGAGTGATAAAATTGTTAGCATGTGTTTACATCCTGATGGAGGCAGGTGAAAATAGAGCTATCAGTGGAAATGACTTGGTGCTATTAAAGCTGAATTTCTGCCTTCAGTTAATAAGTTCTGTTTACATTGCCACAGTTCAATTTGAAGAATGCTCTATTATGAATGAGCTGGGAGATGAGAAACTCTTGTGCATCCTTCATTAAAGATGACACCATTGACTCAAACCTGCTCTTCTGACAAGTCAAAGCAGATTTTAATTCTGGTGGTTCCTCAAGCCAGAATCCTGCTCTGCAATGGAATGAAAGAAAATGTAGAAAAAACAAACTTCTGAATCAAGTACCTTCTCCTACTTGAACAAACACCTTTGAACTTGCCAGTGAAAAAACCTGTGACTTTTGGTTTGGTTTAGAATGGCAGGAATGAAACCAAGCTTAGAATTTTGAAATGAGCACTCACTAAAGCTTCAATCTCTTTTCAGGAAAACACTGGAATTAATTATTGCTATTACACAAACCTCAAATTCCTCTAATTTTTTTCATGAAGTAGGGTTGGCACCTCTGCCTGTGCTCCCCTGGAACTGCTCTGTTCTCTACATTTCAGCTTTTAAAGCTCTGATGTTTTACAAGGAGGAAGGTTGGATGAAGCACATGGAGTGTGACAGAAACTTTGTTAATATTGCATGGTCTATGACTGGGGACTTTTGTCTTTACAGCTCTGCCTTGTCTTCTTCAAAATTAAGCACAGTTGAAATATCAATTCTCTCTTTGCTCACCCTGTTCATCTGTCTTGCTGACATCCCTGTGTCTTGCAGCCCATCTGTTAAAGAGATTTCTTACTTGCAGTTTATACTTAATAGATAAAAAATAATAATGTGGAAATTACAGTGTCTATTTCTAGAGTGGTGCTTTAAAATATCTGCTTTCAGTGGCAGCACTGGGGTTTTTTAGTGCTTGTTGTTGTTATTTCTTATGTGAGTGTGCAACATCAGTGGAGAGCTGGGAGCTCTGTCTGCAAGAATAGGCTGCAAATCTGGAATTGTCAAAAGTATTTTCCTTTTTTTCAGACTTTTCAGTCATTTTTGGGTCTGTATTATATTATGTAAGATTATTTTTAAAGGATCCTCGAAATTAATTTGTAGATTTTTATGTATGTATCTTTGGTGAGCTGCTCACGACAGCAATCTGCTGACTCTAAGGCAATTCATGTTTTTCTAAAATTTTTAGACTCTGCTCAATAATTCAGTAATGTGCCATTATTACCTATTTAATGTATTCTTGCCATTAAACTTTCATTTCCTTTTGTGCAGTTAAATGTCACTGAAGACTGAACTGTACCAGGTTTATCTTGAGATGATTGAAATTCTAATCAGACAGGTGAAACTTGTTTTCAATAAACTGAGAATTAGGTATTGCCACTGCTGTGGCACTATATAGGCAGATATTGTTTCAAAAAATCTTGATTTTATCAATTAATATCCATCTCTGTGTTGGTTTCTGGTTCTCAGTGAACTTCACAAAGCTTCCAGCTTTGCTCTTAGGCCACCAAGGCTTCAGTTGAGAGGATTGCTTGGAAAAATGGATATCGACAACACTTTCCATCACACCTTTAAGAACCATATTTTAAATGTTTATTTCTGTACTCTGCCATTAATGAAAATGGGCAAATCCAGGTGGAATATTTGCCTTTCCACTGGCAGATATTTTCAGCTTTGCAGTGGCAGCAGCATCCAGGTGCTGCAGAAACCTCGAGAACAGAACATTTCCCTGAACTCCCAGGCTCCATTCTGCAATTTGCTGACTCTTTTCTGGAGCTATCATCACTTTTGGGTTTAGTTTGCTAACAGAATGAAATTATTGGGTTTTTTTTTTTTCCTTTTAGGATTTCTGTGCATGTGTGTGTGCCCTGTTCAGTTGTTTTGCAGAGAGCTGGGATGTCAGGAGTGCTGTGGAATTGGAAATGTGGCACCAGGCAGGCTCTGAAATGAGAGGGGAAGGTGTGGGAGAGGCTGGAGCTGAGCTGTGCCCTGCTGAAAACCAGGATTCCCAGGGAAAAGGAGGCAGGAGGCTGCAGGGTTTCTGCAGCTCAGGGAACCTCTGTCTTTTATTCTGGGGGTTTGATGTGTGCAGCAAAGACTTTGATCAGCCACAGTTCTCTATCAGCTGCTTTAATCCTGTGTTCTTCCCAGGGATCTGTGGCTTCATGGCTCCCAACAACCCCACAGGAGAAAAGAGCAGACTAAAACACACTTGGCTTTGAGGCAAACCAATATTTCCTTTTTCCTTGCACCCTTCCTGTATCTGTAAAATAATTGTTAATTTTTTTTTTTTTTTTTTTTTTTTGTGGGGGGAGAGAAAGAAAAAATCTCATTTTTCTATTTAAAAGCATTATGTCAAACTTCTAATGATGGCTGCTGGGATGCAAGTCAATCTCAGTCTCATTTCTTAGGCTTCCACTCTTTCTAAGGCAAAAAAACCAAAACCAAGACTTCTGTGCTTCCACGATGCTTCTCTCACTAATAATTTCTCAAAGCTCTTTGTCATTTTGTTTGTGGATATTTCATTTTGATAAGTTCAGTGAAATTACAGAGCTGAGATTGTGCCTGAAAAAAGTGAACCCAGCACAGGCAGCCTGAGGCAGGAACTGTGGCTGGGCAGGAAAGAATCCACTGAGAAGAATTTTGGAATAAAAGGCAAAGAAAATGAGATGTCATACTGTATGATTTTGTCATTGATAGTTAGGCACATTTTTCATATAAAATATATATGTGAGGTGGGGGCCATCATTTCATCAGTGATTCTCAGAGCAAACTGAATTTCTCTGTGTGTTTTCATAGAGTTTCTGTTATCAAATTGTTCATCTCTTCAAATAAAAATGCCCACCGTATTTAAAAGTTTTATAGAGCAAGTTGTATTCTCTGGAAAGGCATTGATTGATGGAAGTGTTGATATGAACTTGCAGATATTAATGATATTAATTCATAAAATGGTAATATTAATAATATTAATTCATAAAAATGTCATATTTGGAAGCAGAACAGCACCTGCACATTTTGCAGTTGTAACCTTTGTACTGAAAGCTCTTTCCTTGTGTACTCTTCCCTTTATTTACTGTGTTTTTATTTTTATTCCTTTATTTTTGCTGCATTTGATTCATTTTCCTTAACAAAACCTCACAGCTTTGCTGAGAGTGCCCGGGAGCAATATGAAAAACTGTCCAACATGCACAGCAACATGACAAAATTGTATGAAAATTTGGGAGAATATTTCACCTTTGATCCCAAAGCAATAAGCATAGAAGAATTCTTTGGTGATCTGAGCAACTTCAGAACTCTGTTTTTGGTGAGTAAAACCTCAAAATGTTATATCTTTTCTTATATCTTTTTTTCTTCCCAGTTTTACTTCTTTCCTTGTCTCTGTATTTTTTTCTGCAATGTGGAATTTTGTGTTTTGTTCCTTGGCAGGAAATTGGGGTGAATGTTTCCAGAATCATTTAGGTTTTGGTCATTTTATTGTTCTCCAGTGTGCAAATTCACACCTCAAGTGGGGATAAGGTTGAGCCAAATTTAATTCAACTTTGATATTTTAGCAATGTGATGAATCAGTTTTAATGGACCAGGGGGAACATTAAAAGTTCACAGTGAAGCTTTTTTTTTTTTTTTTTTTCCTATAAGTGGCAAAAAAAAATTTACAAAAAGTATTAAGATTTTCTGCAACATTTTGATGCTTACATGAAGTTTCCCCAGAGGAAAAATATGCTGAAATTCCTTTAATCTGTGGGATTTACTTTGAAAAAGGAGTAAGTACTGATAAGAATTGAGAAGCAATCAGATAAGACTGAGGGTAGAGAACATCTCCAAACATTCCCTCGAGCATGCACACATCTTAAATTTGTCCAATTCATATTTCTGGAATATCTTCCTGCTTTCTCTAAGTGCTCCCATCAACTTCTTTTAGTATTTTAGCGATTGGCTGAAATGTAATTCCAAATATTTTATAAATATTGGTGGCTCATTTTTTTTCCTGTTCATCATTCTCCTGTGGACTATTGAATAAAGCTCCTTTCCTGTGCCCTGAGCCAGTTTAGTTTAGAGGCTCACAAGTTTTCCAGCTTGCTGGAATATCACAGGAATTAATTCAAACATTTCCACAGGATTTTCCTTTGCCAGCTGAACACAAGTCAAATTCAAGCCTGGAGAATAAAGAAAAAGTTGTATTCTCTTGGAGCTGACAACTGCAGAGAAATTGAATAAAAAGTAGCAAAAAGGGTGGTTTGTTGTGGGTTTTCTTTTCCCCTTTTGCAGTTAAAGATCCACTGGATAATAAAATCTCTTTAATATTTAGGACTCTGAAGAAGAAGAAATATTTTTTTTTTAGATTTCTAGTCCTTTATTCCCTTGAAAGTAAACACAAATTTTGATTTGTCCTTGAGGACAAATGCAACCTGCTACAACATCAAACCCAAAAGGAAAAAGGATCAGGCTCTTATCAAATAATGATTAATCTGTTGCCTGGAGCAAGATGCCACTTTGTTCTTTTCCATTTGTGTTCCTGAACTTGCAGTCTCACCCTCTGTGCCAAGTGACCTGTGATGTTTCCAGGCTGTCACTTGTTCAATGTTTGTTTGTGTTGGTGGCAGAGGATTTAGAAACCTCCACCAAATCTCTCCTGCCTCCATTTGGAAATGGACACAAACTTCCTTTCAATCTGATTGTGCTGTGGAAGTTGTGTGCAATATGTACTAGATTGGAAAAGTTCCTTTTTTTTCTTACCCACTTTTTTTAAAGTGCTTTAGATTTTTTTTTGCTCCGTGGGCTTCCTTTTAATGCAGGTGGTCTTGAAGGTGAATTTTGAGTCTAAAATAACCAGGTTGTTTTTGAAGCAGGAACAGGGATTTTGGGGTATAGTTGTATGAAATGCAGAGAGGCTCTTTTGTTGACTGAAGTGATATTTTTTTTTTATTTTAAATCTGGTAGACAGTTTTATCAGTGGTGATTCCTTCCCTCCCATTTGTGTAAAGGCAGCTCTTTGAACAAGGAATTAAATCTTAAAGTCCATTATAAATGTACTTAGAGGAAAAGGGTTGTGTTCCAGTTTCAGTCAGTATTTAAGCAGATCAGCTGGCACATTGGTATAACAGCAGTGAAATAAATTGTGTTTTTCCATCACCACTGGTATTGATTGATGGCTGCTGTGTGCCCTGCACTGCAACAGCCACAAAGTGAAAATCTCCCCAAAACGAGGAGACCATAAAATGATCAGCAAACTGAATGTTTTTTATTGTGACCACTACTCTGGGCTTCGAGATTTTGTAAGATTGATGCCCTGGACCAGACAGGGCACAGAACATCTGTTCTGCTGCCTTCATAAAAACCAGATTTTACCACAGTGGATTCAGCATCCTGGGTATAAATGTACCTGGAAGACCTTTCCTTCTTCCTAATATTTGTTTATAACATGCTTCAAAGTAACTTTCAAGCTCTATGGCTCAGGAGGGTTCTTTTGGTGGCTTTTTTGAAATGTCCCTAGAATGCAGCAGGTCGTTTGCCACAGTAATAGAACTCAATGAATATACAATACATAAATAAATGCATAATAAACATCTGATTTATCATGAAATACAGTGCATAGTCAGGCTAAATTCCCAGCTTTCAAACTCATAAATTGAGTTTGTAATTCAGGAGTGGTTTAAAAGAAAGGCTCTATTTATTCATTGTTCTCTCTGGTTATTTGTCTGGGAATACACTTCATCCCTTCTGCCTAAAAAGTAACAGTTCTTTAATGCAGCCTGAAAGATAACAGTTTCCAGCTAGCAGGGAACTGGGAAAAAAAAATAAAGAATAATGAGCAAGAAGTATTTTCTTCAGCGAAATTTCCCAAGAGGTGGTTGCAAAAGTGAAGCAGTGTCCTTATTAACAGGCAATATACAGCAAACCCTTCCTCCCCCCTGCCCCAAACCCGAAATACAAACCTTTTGTAAACTCTCTCAATTCTCATCTGAGTGGGTACATGCAGCTAGTGCTGAGCAGAACAGCTTTTAATCATTATCCTGAACAAATCAGGAATTAGGTGTAAGGTAGGGAAGGACACAGGGGGTGGAATTCACACAGGAGCAGGAATTCAGATTTTTTTTACAAGGGGTTGGTGCTGCTGGAGAAGAGCTTTATTCATGATGTAAAACACGGGGATGGCATTTCTTTTGGAAGCTCCCCAAAAGGTGTAAAAATTAATAATAAAAGAAATTAAACTGAATTCAGGTACACTGTGCAGAAAAAGCTGCCCAGGTGGGCTTGGGATTTTGTTGTGACCTGAGTGGTTTCTCTGGTGAGGTGGTTGCCTTTGTGGATGGGGTGAAAGCATGGATGTCTTATTTCAGGGTAGAGATGTCACTGATTTAGGAATATTTCCAAAAGTTACAGGGGAGAACATGGTCCAGAAGAAACCATGAAGTTAAATTTCCTAATCTTGAAAGGAACAGGATTAAGAAGCTTTCATTAGATTTTTATTTTGTTTTATATTCAGTGCCAGTAGCAACGAGTCCAACTGAGAAATGTCATTATTTCCAGGCATTATCTTTGGAAGTTTGTAATATTTAAATGAGGATTTTGAATCCTCATTCCACTCTGAAAGCAGAGCATAGTGTGGGATTTTGGCTGAGGCAGGACTTAAGCTGTTGAAAAGCTCTTGTGAAGCAGAGACTTCATTACCTGCTCTGAGTGAGAGCCTTGGGCTGAGCCCGAGTCCAGAAGAGACCCTGTGTGTGCAGCTGCCAACATCTGCACAACTTCAACAGCTCTGAGAATGAGCCTGACTTCCCTAAAATCCCCCCAGTTTCCTTCCCCATGTGCAATCTCAGTCTCATCATTCTGTTTGGCCCTATATCCTATTAAGAGAATTCGATAATTGGAATCCTTATTTGCCTTAATTGTGATCTCAGATTGATCACTGCATTATTGCAGCTTCATTTAGCGTGCTGATGTTGGGCTAAATTACAGCTCATTCACTTCCTCAAGTTCATCTTGGCTTGCTTAGCACGTTGGGGAAAATCCAAGCAGGCTCATGGATGTGGATAATCCTGTCAGAGCACGAAGTGTGAAGTGGGAGGTGGAAGAAACCTCAAGGAAAAAATTCAGCAGTGTGAGCTTGGCCCTTCAGTGTTTTGTTTTTTTTCACATTTATCGTTTCTTTGTGGTGTAATGCCACACACCCTCTGCAATCCTTCCTTCCACCAACCATGTCCTTCAGGAAGTCTGCAAAATCTTCCCAACCCAGGCATTTTTATTTTGTTATTTAATTACATTATATCTTTATATACCACGCTGTGTGTAATTCTCACAGTCTCTTTTAAAATCTGTTGAGAATTTCTACCTAGAAACTTTGAAACCGTTCAGTATGTCACATTCAAGGTCCTGCTATTAAAAAGAGTAATTCACTTTTTCTACTGGATTCAGGCTCTTGTATGAACAGTTCTTACAGACCTACCTTAGAATGAATTTTTGTTAAAAATATCTCTAAGATTGTGCTCATGATGATGTGGCAGAGCATGGATTTGTCTTTTCCTTGATCCAGAAAGATTCTTTTGGAATTAAACAATAATTGGTCTGCCCTGGGCCCTGGTTTCTCTTTTAGGATTGTACCCAAAGAGACAACATTTGTTTTCCTGGGGTTTCCAACTTGTATTTTTTTTTTGTAAAGACAGTGATACAGCTTTGTTTTTTTGTGTGTGCTCTTAGCTCTGTGTCTCCATCAGGAATAACCTGAAGGAGATGTGTGTGTTTTTATTCTGCTATCCAAATATTGGTTGGAGGGAGCTGGAAAAACCCTCCCAAACCTGTCCACTCAGGGGCTGTTTAATACTGATCCCACCTTGGTGCTCAGGTGGAACCCTGCAGTTTCCCACTGCTACTGTTCAGTTTGGTTTTGTAAACTCTCCTGCCTGGGCAGTTTGAAGAATTTTTGCATGGCAGCAGCAAAATTCATCCTCCCCTCATCCATCCTGGCAAGCCCAGGACATTGGTGGCCCTGGGGTGGCCCTGCTGCAGGAGCCACTGGCCCAAAGCTCATCCTCTCTGCTCCTTCTTCGTGGCCACCCAGCAGGAAATTCAATTTTTCTGCTCTTGTTTCACACAGCTCCTTCCATCTCTGTGCCATCATTTTCATAGGGATAACAATGAATTTAAATGTGTTATCCTCCAAGGAACACCCATGAAAGTTCTTCCTTTTACATGTGAACTGATTGCTCAATCTGCTTTTCTATTTTATGTTTTGTATTTTAACTCTCTGAGTTTCTGTAGATTAATCCAGTTCATCTGAGTTTTGTTGTTTCCTGATGATTTACGACTGCAGAAGATTATTTTGCTGGAACTTCAGTTGCCATATTTTGCACTTGCAAGGCAAATTTGGGCAAGGCCTGGGGGATCACAGGCAGCCTCATTATTGGTGCATGACCACTTTGTAGCCAAGTGCATCTTTAATATCCAGGGAGATTTGTGCATTACAGTTTGTTTTCTTTCTTCTTGTTTTTAATAATTTACCTTCGAGAGTCTATTTACAACCGTGTGGATGTGTGAATATGTTTGTCTGTCAAAACTTAAGATATGTACAGAATGCAAGAGATGCATTAATTTTTTATTTGCTTCTTAAGGAAGCCAAGCTGTAAACTGGCAGAGCTGAGTAGCAGAGCTGCACTTCAGTGAATCCTAATAAACACAAGGGGGAACATCAAACTATGTGCTTCTTCAACTAACTCACTTAAAAAGAGATAATATTCCTTGCTGAATCTACTTCTCTGCTAGCAGAGACAATAATTCGGTTTTGGTTTTATTATAACAAAGCAAACCCACACTCAAACTTTCTCTAACTTTTAATTTGATGTTGAATTAGCAAAACTGCTTGCCCTTATTGCACCAACCAAAATAACAGAGGGTCGTGAAAAGCACATCAATAAAAGGGATTTATGCATTTAAATATTTCTGTCTGCTGAGATTCACTGGAAAATTATTTCCCTTTTTGCATGCACTTACATGTTTTCAGAAGACAGCATCTAGATGAGAACTTCTCAAAATGTGAATTAAAGCTGCTGAGAAGGCTTTTATTCTTACCAGAGGATTGCTTGTCTGATTTCTAACTGTTAGATTAGTTTAATTTTAATTGGAGAATAAATCCAGTTGTGTAGTAGATCCCTGTGAACAGCAGAAAGTTCTTTGTCACTGTGGAATTGTATTGCAGTAACAAAACTGCTGATCTTTGTTCCCTCTTTTAAAGCAATGCCAATTAGAGAGATTTTTTTTTCAGCCTTCAAACTGATTTTTACCTTATTTTGAGGTAATTTTGAGGTAATGCAGAGAGGGCATCACTGGCATTTGAAAAAAAACCCTGTTCATCTGGAATAGCACTGCCCTGGATTAGAAGAAATTCTCTGCAACCCAAATGTTTGGAAGAGAGAAGGTCTGGGGGAATATAAAACGTGCCATGAGAGAGAAAAAGAACCCTTTGCAGTAGAACTGTAGAAAATGAAAGGATTGATATAATTTCAAATGCTTTAGAAAGCACTCTACACCTGAGTCCAAATTCTCTTTACTCACATTAATCATCAGTCAGTTTGGAGAAACTGTGAGCAAATCTGTTAGCAATGTTAATTCAAATATAAAGTATGTTTATAAATATAGATGAATATAGATTTATTTTGCTTTCTGCACTGACTTTGAGAGCAGGTGGGAGTATGTTCCTGCCAATGATTTATTTCCAGCTTTCATCTAACTCTGACTAAATGTATAGCAGTAAATGAGATAACAAATATGGAATGGTTAAAGAGTCCAACTGCCTGATGGAGGGAAATAAAAAGCAACTCCATTCCAGGTGGTGGATGGGTGTAGACAGATAAAAAGGGGAATTCTCACACAGAGTTACCAGTATTTTGTTTTCTTGCTGTTCTTCAAGATTAAATCTTTATTTTGAATGTTTTTGGTTTTTTTAATCACCAGTGGTACCTGTTGCATTTTATGAAGTGCAGTGTGAATTTTCCACAGAATCTTCCTTCAGACAGAACTCATACAATTGGGCTCAAGGAGAATTCCCAGATAAAATAACTTTAGAGCTTGTTTAGTTCAGTGTGCTGTGGATTTCCTGGTAGAAAATGTGCTGGATTCTGTGATTTCATCCCAGGATCTCCAGTGCAACCATGGCATCTCATTTTTCCTTTTCTCCTAAGGCTGAGAGCATTTCCTTCTCCTACACCAAGAACTGCACTCAGTGTCCCCTCACAGCTCCTCAGCTTGCTGGAATATCACAGGAATTAAATAAATCATTTCCACTGGATTTTCCTTTGCCACTGGAACAAGAGTCAAATTGAAGGCTGGGGAATAAATAAAAATTCTCTGTATTCTCTGCAGACAGGGGTGGAATGTGGTGTTTGGCCCCAGGGAGCTCCTGAAATGGCACATTAAAAGGTGCTGCCCCTTGCTTGAATGAACGTTCAGGATTTGGAAGCATTTGGGAATCTTGGATTTTAATTTCCTAGTTTGTATAACCTGTTACCTCAGAGGCTTCTTAGTCATAATCTAAAAATTCAACTATTTTCCATTTCCTCTCCTGTGTTTTCTGGATTTAAGTCATCCAGACTGGCTATTTTAACAACAACAACAAAAAATGTTTAATTGTATTTAAAGTCTAGGACCTGGGCTTCAGCCACTTGTAATTGAATTTCCATCATAGTGGGAGCTTGGCTTCCTCCCCATCATCCCTCCTCAGAGCATGGCACAGCTTTAAGGTACATTTGCAATCTTAATCAGGAAAAATACAAACATGTTGCTGCTGAAAAGAATTCTGGTTGTTTTGTTTTTTTTTTTCCCTTCATCATAAATGCAAAGCTATTTCAGTTTCCATTGCTCTGATCAATAATGCTCACATGTACAAATGTTCATTATGTTCCCCCCAAGATTCCTGAGGATGCTCCAAGTATTGGGTCAAGTCCCTGCTTTTTTTTTTGTTTTTTTTTCTGCTCTCATTCCATGGAACCACATTACCTTTACAAACCAGGTTATTTTGGTTTTCCTCAATGTACAGACACTCATACTCATTTCTTCTAATGCAGGAGGCATTAAAAGAAAACAACAAAAGAAGAGAATTGGAGGAGAAAACCAAGAGAGCCAAGCTGGCCAAGGAGAAGGCTGAGAGGGAGAGGCTGGAGAGGCAGAAGAAGAAGCAGCAGTTGATTGATATGAACAAAGGTAAGGAGCATTCTTGGCTGAGAAATTAGCATTAAAAAAGGCAAAAACTACGAGTTAGAAACTGAAGGCTGTTTCTGATCAATATGAGGAATACTTGCTGACTGTTCTGAAAGCTGAAAAAAGTTCACTTTGCAAAATGGAAAATTCAGTTTTGTTTCAGCCTAGCTGGTCATGTCATTCCATTTCTGCCAGTTAATGTGGGTAATGCTCCTTTCAAGGCATTTTGTTGTGAATTATTGGCTTTTTTTGCATTTGTAGCACTTAATTGATTTTTTTTCTTATGGATTGACTTCCAAGAAGAAGAAGAAGTGTCTTCCTTGCTTTGTTGTTAATTTAATTCTGTAAACATCTCCATAATCAAGGTATTGTGGCAATTAATGTCTTTCTTTTTGGGCTTGGGGGTCTGTGTTAGAATGGATGTTCTCCCAGAAGTCCTATTAGGAGCTGGAAAATCCAGTTGAGCTTGGAGCCTGAGTGCAGAGTGACATTTCAGCACGATAAAAAGCAAAGTGTTGAGCTTGTCAGCTGGGAGAATATTGTATTTCACACGAGACCTCTCTGCCAGGGAGGGAGGAAAGAAAGCAGAAGGAATGGGCTGGGCTCCATATTGATGCTGTGCAGATTTCCAGGAGGTTGTAAAATAAAAGGTTTTTATTCTTTACCTGACTCCAGAGGTAAAATTGGATTTAGGCAAGAGATTACTTGCAGTTTTTTTGTTCAGTTTCTATGAGTTTGTGTTAATCTGACCCAGCTATAAGAACACCTGTCCTTGTTATCCAGTTAACAGGCCCTGCTCAGGGAAAAATGCTGCAGTGGTGCCACAAATCCTGTTATCTTTGGCCTTGCTTGAACTGGCACTGACACTGCATGGAAAGTTCTGTGGCAGAAATTCTTTTCTGTAAATGACAAACTTTATTATCAGATCATTTAAAAATGAGGCTCATTTCAGTATAGCTATAAATGAAATGTAAAATTTAAACACAGGGGATGCATAAATGCATTTTCTTTTCCTTGTGAAGTTAAACTGGTGAAGGTTTCTAATGAGATTTTCTAACCCATTCTTTCAGCAATATTTATTTAATATCTGCCAAAAAAATGTCCATGGTAATGTGGACAGGCACTTTTTTTGTGAGTGGGATAAAAACCAGTTAAATATCCCTTCATCACCCACCCTGTGCCAGTGCTGGGGAGAGTTTATTTGAGCTCCCACTCCAGACAATGAAAGCCAGAATATTTTGTGAGCTGTTGGAAAAGGGGGCTGGATGCTGATGTCAGAGAGTTGGAGCTCTCAGTTTGAAATTACAACTTCTAAAATTGCCTCAGCTCAGTGCTGAGAGCTCACCTTCATTTTTCTGCATCCCTAAACTCTTCCAGCAGGTGAGGGGACTCCAGTGCCAGCAGTGCCTCCCTACCCTGACAGCATTCTGCTTGCTTGCTTTTCCTGCTAAATGATACAACTCAAGTTTAATTTTGCATTGTAGTCTTCTCTTAATGAAAATGCAAATATATGAATGTCTTTACATGGCCCAGTGCACCAAAACTGCCATTTAAATAACTAGTGTTTGTAAACCTGTGACACAAAGTTAGTTTAATACTTCTAAAATATTTTTTTTTCCAATCTGTAAATATTTTTAAAATATCCTTTCACATATTTTAGCTCTGCTGCTGTGGTTGGAGGAGAGCTAAACCTCCATCCTCACTGGATTCCATTACATTGGTATTCAACTGACTCTTTTTGCTAAATAACTTAATTTTTTTCTTGATGCAGCTACTTCTGTGTGCTCATTGCTGCTTATATAAATAGTTTGTAAATTTGTCTAAGTGAATGTGACACAGCAGACTGAGGGGAAGGAGCAGATGTCCTCTCAAGCTGTCACTTGGCCAAGGTGATTTTCACCCAAAGGTGAAATTTTCACCTCAGCCTCTCCCAGAATCAAATTTGATCTCAGTGCTGCAGCCTTTGGGGTCAGAGCAATGGGGTTCCTGCATTTGCCAGCTTCTATAATAAGTTTTGTTTTTTTTCTGTTTTCTGACTATTCAGTGACAACTTTAATGTGGTCACTGGAGAATCCAGATTAGGTTAGTTCAAATTAATTAACTTAAAATTAATATCTGTTTCTTGGTGTAACTGTAGAAAACCAGTGTGGCCAGAATCAAGAATTGTTTTAATATTTCCTAGTGAAGTAATTCAGACTTTGCCAGTATTTTGAGCACCACTTGACTCACTTTAGTGGTTTTGTGCTTTGTGTCAATGAGGTGCCACATAAACACTAGGTGTGAACTGATAAAAAACCTGCTGAATGTTCCCAAATATTTAAAGATGACTGCAAAAATAGAAAATAAAACCTCTATAAAAATGAACATTCCAAACAGTTACCAAGGTTGCTAGCATTAGGTGAGGAGTGCAGGATTGCTGGTGAAGTTTGGAGGCACAGGAAGGTTTGTGCCTTATGCACACACCCACAGATCTGAAATTTCACTGTTCAAATCCTGATCAGTTCTGTCTCCTCATGGCACCTGAATTTGGAGGAGAAACCTTTCACGATTTCCACCTGATTCAGCATCTGCAGAATCCTTGCAGCATTGCTTCTGTGTGCACGTCTGAAGCACAGAGAGGAAAAAAAAAAAAAAAGAATTGGAGGATTCATCTTCCTGCAAAAGTGTGAAACAGCAATTCTGATGCAAATGTTATTTAATCAGAAACAGTTTTGCTCTTCATTATATCTGATTACTATGGCAATTAAAATCACCTTTTAACTAGCAGTGTTCGGGTAAGAGATGGAATGAGCTTTCTCAGTCCCAATTAGGATTGAATTAATTGTTTTGAAGACATATTAACATTCTCCCCTAATGCAGATGAAGATAATGCAAGTGAATTTCTGTGCTGGGGCTTGATGGATATTCCTGCTTTCCCTTTCCCCACAGAAAATTTCATTTCTTTTTATTCAGTGTATTCTGCTGGGAGCAAAGGTTGTGCTGTGTTTCCTTGAGCTGGTTTCCACTGGTGCCAGGGTAGAATTCCAGAGGTTGCTTTTGCTGCAGTTTCCTGATGATTCTGTGGTTTTTTTTCTGCTTGCTTTTTCTTCCTTGCACGTCCTTTAGCATAAACAGAAATCCATACTAAGCTTATGATGAGCTACATGTAATTTTGTCAAATTGTCTTTTGGAATTTCTGTCTTGGCTGCTGATTGCATGGGGGGTACCTGCAGTGCTGGAACTTGGATCTTATTTACATTTTAAAGATTCTCACTTTGTGGTGCTTGGATGTCAATGAGGCAAATGTTCCAAGTCCTTTGGGAAGTCATTATTTTTCATATTGATGTCGATGGGCTGTTTGAATATGCTGCACACCTCCTGAAACCTGATATTCACAGAACAAAACAACAGATAGAAAAATGGAGTTTTGCATTATGCCTAAAGGTGAGCATCTACAGAGCCAGGATGAGGTTTGAGTTTTCCTCTTCAAAGCAATTCTGCAGGAATTGCTAAAAAAACTTTGTAAAATCTGTTTGTGCAGGAGTTTCAAGCAGTCCTGAGAATGGGGTGAGTGTCAGAATTACTGAACTGCTGCTAAATGGATCAAAAACAGGAGAAATGCAAATAAATGTGAGCATGGACAGGGAGTTAGAAAGAAATTACAGCTCGAAATTTCATCTCACCTTTAAATGTTTTGCTCTGGAAAAATTTGATTTTGATAATGAAGATGGCCCATATGGTACCTTCCAATTGAGTTTATCAGGGGAATAAAATATTAGACTGACAAATCTGTGATTGGGATAATTGCAGGGAAGAAAGAAAAAAATTGGATTCTTTTCTCTTAAAAGGAGGTTTCCTGGGGACTATTTACTGAGCAGTAACAAGTGGTAACTTTGGGGAGTTTTCTATGCAAATTCAGCTTTTCCTAAGAGAAATTATTTGTGTTTCAAAAAGTTGGTACTGTTGTTAATTTTGAAAGTAATTTTGTTTATCTCAATGTAAGTGATGTATGACAGCTGATATTTTGTAGAACTTGCAATGTTAAAAAAGCATTTCAGAAATAATTCTGGATCAGCTTTGGTATAAGGCTGGATCAGGAGTCAGGGTGGGATGGGGTGAGGAGCAGAAAATCCCTTGGCTCTGTGAGAATTAAAAAAATTATCAACATTATTTCCAGTTCCAAAACACTGCCCCACATCAGCTGCTGGGAGGAAAATTAACTTTATCCCAGTCAAAACCATCACCAATATTAAAAAAAAAAAAAAAAAAAGTAAAAAGTCATCAAGAATATGTAAGAACTCCCCTTTCCTCAAAATGTGTTCCCAAAACTCCTTTTTCCCTAAGATGTTAAAGCAATTGTTCAATTGTAAGGAACTTTGAAAAGGAAATTATTAACCATGATAAAAGCATCGATGATTTTGTTCTGCCTTGTCACAGAAATTGTCACATATCTGCTTGCCACAGAAATTCAAGGTAGCTCAGGACTGTAGCTCAGATTCTTGAAACTGCAGCAGAGTTTTATTTACAGGTGTAATTAGTGAGGGATCACTTGGGATTTTTTGGTTTGTTTTTTTTTTTTTTTTTTTGGTGAGCTGCACAATCTTTTCCTTCCCACACAGAGGCAATCTCTTCCCATTTGTTCCAGGAAATTCACATTACAGCCCATTTCAGGGGTGCTCCTTGCAGGGACAGGCTCCAGGGCCATCTCAGCTTTGACCATTGGGACACTTTCTCTCAATAAATTAAAAAAAAAGTGAATTTCAAACATTGTTTTAAATAGCCTGCCTGGATAACAAAGTACTTTTTTTCTCCTATTAATTTATTTAAGCCTGAGGTCGGGTTTATCATCAACAATATTCTTAATTGGTGTGGAAGCAAGGGTTTGCCTTGTTTTGTAGACTGACACGAGGCAGGGCTTCACTCCTCAGTCACACTGGCCTAACTTGTTCTCTTTAATTAAAAAGTAAATAAGAGTCACGAGACAGCACTCTGCTGCAGAGCAGGACTGCTTCCTGGAGATATTTATTATGCATGCAAAATGAATTTAGCAAATGAATAAAATGCAAATATACGAGGAGAACACAAAACCACGCTTTCCCAAAGACATTGAGAGCTGACCTTTTTAAGTGGATATATTGCAATTAAAAATCCTGGTACTGGTTATGAATAAAAAATCTTGTTTAAAAGTTTCTGCAGGACACACATTAGACTTGGAAAAGTGCTTAAAAGTTCAAAGCAAAACAGGGTAGATGTGAATAGAAGCATGATTTAAAAACCCTTTGGAGCAGCAGGAGGCAGCATGTGTTACCCAATGTGCTATTGGACTTTCAGTAAGGACCCAAAATTATTAAAAATTTCCCGTAAAATTCCTGTAAACCTTTGCCCAAATGTCTGTGCACTATCTCCACTTCTTATTAACTTAGATCAGTTTGCACTCAGTACATTTGTAACAGTAAGTACAAGATGTTTTGCAGGTGTGCACGTGGAAAATAATTAGGAAATAAAAATGTGCCAGCAAAACGCGTGGGCACTGCTGCAGACAACAAAAAGGGAGGGCAGGAAAACTGTGCAGGAGCAGGAGATGGTGTGAGCTGGGGAAAAGAGATCCTGGAGCTGGACCATGCCTGCCTGAGCTCTGGGGCTGCACATCCAGAGCAGTTTTTGTATCCCAAATTATTCCAGCACCTTCTGAAATAGGAGCCTCAAGCTGGAGTTAGAATCCTTTGGGTGAGTTTTGCTGCCTGGCAAATGTGTGCAGCCCGGGAGGAGCCCCCAGCACAGGCAGGTTTGCTGCCAGGGGAGCTGCAGTGGCTTCCTGCATGTTGGGGACGATTTTTTGTTGAGTTTTGCTCTGCTGGGATTCCAGAGCTGCTCCTGCACCCCTGCAGAAACCCTGCTGCCACTTTATTGTTGGATTCCACCCCCTGGTTATGTGAAAAGCTTTTCCAGTTGTGATTTCTCTCCTGTGATCGAGCTGGTGCCCCCCAGCTCCTGCAATCACAGCATCCTGGGTTTTTGTCACTCTGGCTCATTGCTGGTTTTTTGGTCACCTCTCTGGGTTGGAGCTCTTGGGCATTCCCTGTGAAGTTGCATTCCTTCACTTATTTCAGTTCATTTGATTATTGCAAATTTCTGCAGGCTGGGTCCCTTCAGCAGTGCAAGGAGCAATAATGTTGTTCTATGGAAGAAGAAAATTATCTTTGTCTTTATTTTTATAATTAAAAGTGGCCCAAATCTGTTGAGTAACACTGGTGTAAAGCCTGGGAGCTGCAGGAGCACAGATATTTCTGTAACCTCCTAAAAACCCCAAGCTGCAATAGAATTAATGTCAAATCCAAATTAAAACAAATGAAGCTGGTAGTTAACACATCAATTAATGACAGAGAGGCTTTCTTTGCAGTCCTCTTTAATACCTGTAGTGAATCTGGCTCTTTGCTAAGGCCAATCAAAATAAATTGCCAATTTTTTTCTTTTTTTGTTTTTTTGGGTTTTTTTTGTTTTGTTTTTGTTTTTTGTTTTTGCATGTCTCCACCTTTGCTCTCTCTTAAATACTTGGGGCCAGCTTGGAGAAGAGAAACAATGAGGAAGGAAATGACTTGTTCCATATGAAACTCCTATCCTTGTGTACAATGAAAGCCATCCAAAAGAGAAATAATCATTATGTATTTGATTTCTACTGACAGAAATGTTAGAAATAAGTTTTTAGTTTTCAAACTACTGGCAATTTCTGTCTTTGTTTCTTATTTGTGTCTATAAATTGCTGTGGGTGGTATAAAAAAGACACATTGAGGGGGTAGCTGGTACTGTGTAAAAAACTGCAGCCAGAACTATAGGGAAAGACTGAAATTTGTTAAATTTTATTTATCAATTTTAATCAAGGCTCCCTGAAAATGCAGTTCTTTGTCCAGTTCCCACTTAACCACCTGAAGGCTTTAAGATGCCCTGCTGAGATCAGACCTTGCATGAATTTCACTTTGAGGAGTTAAAAACCTCATCACTCTGTCCTACAGCTTCCTTAATTATTTGTTTTATGTTGAATATTCTGGCATCCCCAAACCAGGCTGGGTTTTGGCAGTTGCAGTAATTAGCAGGTAGAGCAGCTCACTCAGCAAAAAAAAAAGGCTGCATAAACATTACATAATATTGAAGGATTTTTGTCTTTTTTAATCAACTCTGCCAACTCTTACTTTTAATGAAGATCGAAGAATATTGTAATTTTTCTCCACATGAAATATTCCAAGAGATTAACTAGTTCTGGGTCTGCAGTCAGTGCCATTAAATGTTCCAGACCAACTTGATGTGCATTAATTTGGACAATGTGCATTCACAGACCTTTGATTTGGAAGGTAAATTTAATACAGAGCCAGCAACAAAGCAATGAATAAGCATGGGTAGGATAAGAAGCACAAAGAAAAAACAATTACGTTGTACAGTTTAGAGAGAATTCTGGCCTTGTATGTGAGTGGGAATTGAGTGAAGTTAATTTGCTTTTTTGTTCTGGAGGAGCTCAGTTTTCAGGCTTTTAGATGGAATGGAATTAAAACTGGTATTTCAGAGCCTTGTGCTGATTCCTGCTCCCTTTCCTCTCACCCTGGAGAGAGCTTTGGGGCTGTGCTGTGTGTGTACAGTGGTTTAAGTCAGGTTGATGTATGATTTAAAGGTATCAAGTCGTTATTTTAATGATCAGCTTGTAGGAATTTGGAGCAGGTACTGTTTTAGGTGTGCTCTTACATCAGGTCTGGCTTGAGTCTAATAAATCTGAATGGCACAGAGAAGCAGGACAGAACAGCTTATTCATTAATGGGCTGCTTTTAAACTTGAACATTTGAGAGCTTGAATGTGCATTTAACCTCCTACACTTGGTGTGAGTCAGAAGTTTTTTTACCATAGTGTAATTTTCTTTGCATAAAGTAATGATCTTCCCATTCCCAGATGGGGAAATTTATATTAGTTTGGAGTCTGAGAGATGTGGATGAAATGTCCACCTACCTGCTGAGTCTAACCTATCTTTTAGCTTTGGGTTATAACACAGGTATGGGAACAGAAAGAGGCATTAATCAATAGTTTTGTAAGCTTTCAGTTCTTTGACCTCTGTTTCTCATGCTGCTGTCAACTGTTATTGACAGACTGAAATGCAAAGGAATGTAAAGACTCAAATATGGAAAAAGAAGTAATTTTTTCTACCCAAATTTCCCTAATGCACCATCAAGTCCAGCAATTTAAAGGCTGCGAGTTAGCTTGGAGATGAAAAAAGCAAAATAAAAAATTGGGCAGAAGTAAAATTCAGCTGTTAAGAAATGTTATAGCATTGACTTCCACTGCGTGGTCACCCCCTTTTCATCCTTTCCTTATGTCACCTGAGGACCATCCATGCTACTGATTGTATAGATAATTTGATTGTATAGGTTGTATTTGATGTTTGATTGTACTGATTGTATTTGATAGTTGATTGTATTGATTGTCTTTGATATTTGATTGTATTGATTATATTTGATATTTGATTGTATAGATTGTATAGATGATTTTCTCCCCAAGATTTAATGAATCATGAAGTCAAGAGGCAGTGTATAAAATCTTTTCTCTGCACTGCAATACTGAACGTTCTGCTGCTCAGTGTCATCAGATGCATTGATTAAATTGACGTGTTTCCACTCCAGCCAAGCCTTCAGGTAGCTCAGCAGCAGCTGCCTGTGTGCATGCTGCAGATGTGCAGCAGTAATGCACAGCTGGCGTGTCCAGGTTGCAGGAGCAGCACCATTGGCATCAATCGTGCCTCGATGGTGGAGCCTGACCCCGAGCAGCCGGGGCTGCTGTGCCCAGCCTGGGGATGTGACAACACCGGGGCTTGTGTTTGTTCCCAAGGTTGTGCTGACTGCATTTTCTCTTGCTCTGCTCTCAGAGGGTGACGAGACAGGAGTGATGGACAGCCTGCTGGAGGCCCTGCAGTCGGGAGCGGCGTTCAGAGACCGCCGGAAACGAACGCCGCGACCGCAGGGTAAGAGAAACGCGAACCCTGCAGGGCCAGGGCTCTGAGCTCAGCATGGCAATGCTTGTCTGGCAAACATTGGCCCACTGAGCTCCTGGGAAATCCTGGATTTTTAACTCTACGTGCTGCTGTTGGGTTTGAAATGGCATTTGAGTATCTCTGCATCAAGGGGGTTTAATTCTTACAGCTGTAAGAATAATTGATTTATTCTAGGTGGTGCCACGAGGAATATTGGCTTCTTAACAAGTGAGACTTTGAGTGTTCAGCTGGTCACATTGCCAAGCACTGCTCTTGGTAGGAACTTGCAGTGCTTGGAGCCTTAAAAGTAAAAAATGCACTAAGCTTCATTTTCCTGAGGAAGACAATAGTATTGGACTCAACTCTGTCCAGTTTCCTGGGCAATTGCTTCTTCCTGCAAAGCTGATTTGGGGAAATTTTGAGAAGTTAATCAGTGGCAGTGTTTCCTTACTTCACTTCTCTGCTCGTGATATTCCAGTGGCACACTGTTTGTGAAATGGATTTACTCTACTTTTACTTTTCATCAAAGCTCATGGTAACTGTGTTTTGCAATTTTTCAACAATGCAGTCTTAAAAATCTTAAAAGTTGAAGTTATTTGGCATAAAATCCAAAGGTTTCTTTGGATATGTTTGCCAAAAGAGAGTCATAAATAAGCCATGTGTATCCACCTACCCTCAGTGAGCTGGGGTTAAGTTCATGTTGGCAGATGATTTTTTTTTTAGAGGAACAGAAGAGTGAAGGCAAATTCTGTTGCCCTCTTCAATTGCAAAAGTAGTGCATAATTACTTTTCATTTGCCATATGCATGATCTTATGGGAAAAAAAAATTAAGTGACTTGATTTGTTCATGCTATGAAGTCAATTCTGCTACAGTTCCAGTATCATTCTTAATTCAGGGCTTGTTTCTGCTCTCAGATCAGATGTGAAAGGACTCCTCGATCAAAATTTGGTTTTTTCCCCTATCTTGAGAAGTATCATTTTGAGAGATGGTTTATCTGTATTGTGACTCGAGGAGACATTTGTCACCAAGTGGTGACAAAGCAAAGCTTCCCAGGGACCAGAGGAGATTGCACAAAATCTGCTGCAGCTGAGAAAAGCCAGAAGAGGATTGAACCTGGGTCAAAACCAGGGACTCCTCAGCAAAAGTGAGGACAGAGCTGATTAAAAATCCCTTTGAGTGATCTGGTTGATGTAGTTACTGTGATTTCTGTGTTTGGGATTTCACTGAGTCAGGTGATATTCTAGTGGGGTCTGGATTTTCAATTCAAAGAGCTGATTGACTTTGGAGATGTCACTGTGAGAAAAGAAATTCCGATTCCAAACTCTGGCCAGCTGGAAGTGTTATACAAGAGAAGAAGGCCATAAAGTAAAGTTTTCAGGGGTAGCTAAAAATTGAGAATAGGAGAAAATAAATGTTAGTCCCAGCCAAATATCTCATTTAAACTTTCATGTAAATTTTCTCATGTGGTTTAAAAACATAGATGACATTTTGTGAGAACTTGTCTAAACCAAAAGGTGCCAAAAAAATGTGGCTGTGACCTTTGTGAGCAGTGAACTACAGCATGAAAAACCTGGCACCACATTTGCAAACTTCCACATCCCTCCTGCAAAAAAGGAACAATGACAGTTCCCTCTTTGGTGCCACTCTGTCCTGCAGAGTTCCAGCCAGTGAGAATGGAATAAAGAATTAACTCCATGCCTCCAATGGTTCAGTGGAAGGGGAAAAAAAAAAAGGGAAATAAAAGGGTTGGAAAGAAGAGTTTGGGTTTTTTTGGGGCTTGCTGGGTCATGTGGTTGTGGTTGGCAGTTTTATAGCAAATGGAATAATTCTGTCTGTGGGCAGTGCACAGTGCAGGGGTTTCCTGTGCATTATTGGAGCTGAACTCTGGAATCAGCCTGGACTGGGGACACTCGTGGGAAAAAGAAAAAAAGGGAAAAAAAAAAAAAAAAGTGCTGCTATTTCCAAAGTTACACTTGTCCAGCAAAGTTTTCTGGTTTGAACTTGTTTTGGTTACACATCGTGATGTGAGAGGAAGAAAATCTTTTGTTTTCTGCCTGTTTGGACACAGATCTCATTTTTCTGTGTCAGCTGTGGTTGTCGTTTAGCAAGGAGGAAGAACAATTTCTGCTTCCTTACTTTTTGTAGTTTTGCTAATTCCTTGGTGACAGGTGGCCCCTCCAGAAAAGCAAAAAATCCCTGTCCAAAACCCCTAAAAAAAGCCACAAAGAAAATGCCCCCAAAACCACTCAGCAAAGCAGTAAGTTCACTTTTGTACATTTTTCAGGTATGTACTCTAGCTCTGTCTTTTTCCAAACTTGCTTGTTCTGTTTGCATCTTCTCGTGGTGAAAATTAAAACTGGAGAGGTTTCACACCCTCACAGTGCCTGCAACCAGAAGATCATGGAAATTTAGCTTTTGTTGTGTTTTCTTCCATGGTTTCACAAAAGAAATTGAACTCAAATGGAGCAAACTGTGGTATCACTACTAGTGGCATTTTTCATCAGTTTGGCTCAAACCCCACAACTTTGCCAAAAAAAAAAAAAGCAAAAAAATCCCCCAGTGTGTGTTCCCTGCTGGCTTTAGGTGAGTGGCTTGGACCTAGGAGGGATGAATTAATTAGGATGAAAAAAATGGTTTACAACCTTTTTTACAGAGGGTGCTGCTGTGCCTCATAGAATATTTATGTTTACATGGTCACGAGTTTAAAACATTTCCAGTGAGATTCAGGCTGGCTGAGAGGTGCAGAAGGGAAGGGAGTGATGCTCCAGAACACAGGAGCTGCTCAACACTGCACTGCTCCTGCTGGGGAAAAAAAAAAAAACAAAAACAAATGGTGAAATGTTCAGACAGGCTCAGAAAAAGAAAGCCCATTTCTAACATGTTTAACTGCATTATGTTTGTTTGCTAAGCCTGGAAATGGAAAGCTACACTTTAATGGGTTGCATTGCAACCCCAGACTTTGCCAGTAAAAATGGTTTTGTTATCAGGTCATGGAAGTAATAATAATAATAAATTCTTGCCCCCCTGCTCTAGTTTTGCATTTCATTCTACTCTTTTGTGTTCTTTCTTCTGTGGACTTCTCCATGGGCAAAAACATTTTGTGATTTCTCTCTCCTGAGCTCATTACTTCACCTTTATTGTTTTTAGCCACTGGATTTTAGGAAGAGAAATTGTCCTTTCAGTGGATTGTTTTGCTTATTGAGCCTATAAAATAATAATTAGAAATCAGTTTCTAGAAATGTTGGTTCCTCTTCCAAAGACACACTTGCATTTTGCAAGTTTGCCAATATTGGTATAATAAAGAGCAGTGTTGGGTGGCATTTATCACAGGCTGCCTTTAAAATCTGCATCCAGCACTGCTGCTGCACAATAATCCCTGCCCTTTGTCCTGGCCCTGGGGTAGGAAATTATTAAAAGAAAACCAATTCAGGAATAATTTTTTTCTCCAAATTAGCTAAAGCAAATTTCCTCCCAGAGCTAACTGTTCTGCTAAGGTTCTTTCTATGAAGTTTCTAAGTTGTTTTGTTGTTTTTTTGTTTTTTTTTTTTTTTTGTTTTGTTTTGTTTTGTTTTTTTTTGGTCATGGAGTGAAATTTCTTTGAGTGTTAATAACCATTGCCCTCTCCCAAATATCAACCCTGGCAACCCCCCCTGATGCTCTGGGCCATCATTTCTGTGGGCTCTCAGTGCATGAAGATTCTCCTGCTTTACATCTCTGTGCAGTTATTGAGGATTTCCTGTGCTCTCTTAGCCCATATTTGGGATTATTTTTAATGCCTGCATCAAAATCAAATCAGTTGCTGCTCTCTCGTTATTTCCATGCTTAGAGAACACCTTGGGAGTGAATGGGAGACCCCAAACCTCCCTGCTTCACTCTCAGAATCTGATTTGTGTTTTTGGGGAGAGCCACCTGAAGGGTTTCCACTCCTTGTTTAACTTTTGCAAGAGGAAAAGGAGTTGTGGTGATGGAGTGTTCCTATTTTTTGATGATTTTTGATGATTTTTCACATTTTAATTTAAAATATGGGTTGAAGTAGGTGGATATTTTGCATTGCATCAGAATTGTAATAAGAGGTTCATGTTTTAGGAATATTGTGTCTTCTCTTTGGAGGTACAGCTGTGCTTCAAGACTCACTTTTGCTTGTCTGCCTTGCTAAACTAATTTTACCTTTGCATGATTATATTCAATAAAATCTGGAGGGTTTCTGGGTGCACAATCCTCATTTACCTGAACCACATTCAAATAAAAAGCTTCAGTCAAAGCAAATTTGCTTTCCTGAAAGCACTGTCAGTCATTGTGTGTGTGACACTTGTCTAAATAAGCTGGGTTTTGATATGCTTGCATCTGTGAATTGGTGAGAATATTTTAAATGTTAAAATGCAGGGAGGTGGGAGGTGCACTGAATTTGTGCTCAATAAAAAATATCTTTCAGAGGAACAGATCCTTAACATTAAATACCTGTTATGTTGCTGGAAAGATCCATTATGGACTATAAAAATTTAGTCTCGAGTTTAAAAATCAGTTTGTATTTTAAACTTCTTCATCTTTTCAAAGATTTTTTTTTTTACTCTTAGGATTAAAAAAAACATTTTAAAGCATGTTTGCTCCTCAGTTGTGTAATGGAGGGGTTTTTGCTTTACAGTCAGGTGTTGTGGGCTAATGAGACTCACACATGATCCAAGTGCTTCAAAATTACCACACCTGGAATAGCAAGAGCTGGCCAAAAATAAATTTACTCGTTTTGCTATAGTGGCATTATTGTAGATTGAAGTTTGCTTTTATTTCTAAATATAAATACAGGCACCATTCAAATCGAATCTCAGCAAATTACCCCAGTCCTGAGAGCTCCATAAACGGTCCCAAAGCTGTTTAAAAATAGGTATTTGTGGTATAATCTATTTTTACTGTGTCTGCATTTTGTCTTATGGCTTTTGTAATTAAAGTTGCAGTTAGATAATACATTTTTCTGGTGGCCTTGCATGAAAAAAAA